TTTTGCTATGGTTTGTTATTGCTTAATCATTTTCCTAATCATTTGATTGTAAGTATAACTATCTCTTTGTGAAAGGAGTTAGGAAAAAATTAAGCTGAAAAACGTTTTATATAAAAAGAAAGACAGAAATGACTGCAGTCCATGCATGTTTTAACTGTCTTCATTGTATGTCTGTCATGTCAAATGTTCTCAATTGTCAAAAAAGATTGCTTGAGAGGAAAAGACTAGTTCATGAGAATATTTATTTATACAATACACTTTTTAATCTGCGGTTTTGTGGCGTCTAAATTAAAATAAAAAGAGGTGTGCAGTAGAACTTTGACAATGTGTATAGACTCTGATTTTGGCAAAGTAGGACCTTAGGTGTCCTGGTTTTAGTTACTTTAGTTACAAAAGGAGGAGAAAATTTCAGTGGCCTAATGCTGAGGGAACATCCAGAAAAGCATTCCCTTCTTAGAAAAGAGAAAGGGGGAAGTCTATCCTCTCTGCTCAAGTCTCAAGACCTTTTGGAAGAATCGGGGGCTGTTTTGGCCTCTGCTCATCTGTGTCCGTGTATAAGGTCATTATCTAGCCCTAGACTCTGTGACTGTTAAATAAGCAAATGAAGGTCTTTCAGGAGTCTTCCTCATTAATTAAAGGTTCAGCCCGAGCTTTTCCAATTGGTTCTAGACAGTGTGTAGAAAGTGTTGCCTTTTGATGTAGAGATCCCTAGTGTGTTGGAGACTGTACCGGAGACCAAAAGAATGCGTTTACATTCCCAGAGCCAGCCATTCCTACTGAGCCATTTTCCATTTAAAATTTGGAGTAGAGGAGAAAAGGCCCTTCAAGTGTTGCTAAATATAGGTAATTGTGCAAGCTGCTTAACAAACCAATGTAGTGGATGGCACTCATTTAATAAGATCATAACCAGAACTTGAACCCTGCTTAGCTCCGGTTATCTGCCTTCAGCAGAACTCCAGTAGCCCAGTGTGTTCTCTTACCTTTTGTTGATACTTTAAAACTCCTTGGTCCCTCATGGCAGAAAGCAGGCATAACTGGGGAACCAATTAATCTCAAGGCGCGGTCTTGGTCATGACCACCTTGCTCTTGGATGCTCTCCCACACTTGAAGACAGGTTATCCTCAAGTTACTGGGATGCATCTACATTGGGACTTAGTTCATGCTGAATCCAGGGTGACCTTCCAGGCCTTTCTGCAAGAAAGGAGAGTATGTACTGACTCATGAAATCATAGGCAGTTCCCTATTCCTCCAATGAAACCCTGATGACATTTTGTTAGGGTTGTTTTTATCTCTTACATGCTTAGAAAAGTTCCCATTTCCCTTCATCAGAGACCATTCAAGCACATACACAAATACACACACAAACACACAAATTGCTTAGACTTCCATCACTTTCATTCAGTTTATTCTACCTTCCTTTTAAATTGCAATTGAGGTGGTGGTGATCCCCAGGCATTTGGTATTTTTAACCCTCTTAGAAGTTCGGCCCATCTTAATGCTGTCCTTTTTCCTAAAAAGCTACTTATCTTGTACTTAGAGGAGGCAGGACTGTGTCTCCATCCCCTACAACTGTAGTTTCGTTGGGGTAGATCCAACTCTATCTCAGCTGCTTGCCCCATTTGACGTAGATTTAATGAATTACTCCTTCTCAAAAAAAGATAGGACATGATAGAATTTTTTTTCCTCTCTGTGGGGTACATGTGCACATGTGTGCTTGTGCATGTAAAGGCTAAAGGTGATCATCAGGTGTCATGCCTCAGATTCTGTCACCTTTTAAAAAAGATGCAAGAGCTATAGTCTCTGACTACCCTGGAAGCCAGGTAAGCTACTATGGCTGGCCAGCAGCAGCTCCAAGGACTCGCCTCCCTCGCACTGGAAGTGTAAGCACAGCCACCACACACCTGGCTTGTTTGTTTCCCTATGGTTGCAAGGATTGAGTTCAGGTCTTCATGCTTGTAAAGCAAACACTTTCCCAACTAGGCCATCTCCCCAGACCAGAAGTATATTCTTAGTGATGATGTGTGATGCCTGTGCTGACTTCTTAAACACTGTTACAGCCTTTGGGCACTTTTGTGTTCTTTCACCATGTTGTTTGTATGTACTTCCTTTGTCCTGTAAAGTATGCCGCTTCTAAGAACTAACATGCCTTTGTATAATAATAGCAACACTTAGAAACTAGCATATGCAGAATGTTTGATCTGCATATTTTGGTGCTTTTTAAATAAGGTACAAGGATGACAACCTTAATTTTGCTCGACCTTACATAACATGCTTAGACCATGTACAAGCAAATTAAATGACACGACAATTAGAATGAATTGTAAAAATTTGATGTTGGGGTTTCTGAATGGTAGGTCATTGTCTTATTTTCTCTTCTAGGGTTATGATCATAGCTACTACTTCATTGCAACCTTCATCACTGACCACATCAGGCATCATGCAAAGTACCTGAATGCATGAAAAGCTCCGGAGAGAAGAATCTCATCAGGATTATAAATGTTGAAATACCTGGAATTGCTGAGTGCAAGATTTGGGATTTCCTCTCAAAAGATCCTCCTCCTGCAGTTGAATCACTTTTCTGAATAAAGATACCAAACTTTCTGATTGAGATAGTTATTTTACCAGTATTCACATAGGAATTTAATGCTGGACAGTGTTTCTGAGTAATTGGGAAATCCTTGTCAAGTAGCCTCAAGTCTTAGACTGTGAATACAGTTCTATTGAAGTTATGTCAGAGGATTTAAAGGGAACTCGGCACAAATTTCTCACCCCTCCAGACTCCAGGCATCTGAGGCCACTGACTCTCCCCACTGTGTGTATTCTTCTCTCTTATCTATGAAGCATTGGATTTTTAGAAGGCATTTGATAACTGATCATTAAGAAGACAGGGAAGTAGGCCCAGGAGACTTAAGTAAATGAACACCATCACACAGCTGTCCGCAGCCAGCTTCCTCTGGGTGCTGGCTCCATCCCCTCAGGCTGCTCTAGGTCTTATGACTTCTGTTTTCAGTCCAGAATAAGAATCATGATCCTGGCTGTTAAGAATTCGTGATGTCCTTCTTGTCACATCACCCCAAGTGTGTGTAGGGGGACATCTTTTGTGTGGGGTGTGCATGCATGTTGACGCTAACAGCCAACTTCAGAGTCATTCGTTAGGAGCTGTCTACCTTGTTTTTTGAGACAGGGCCTCTAAAGAACCCACTCTTACAGTAATGGCATCTCTTACCATGCTTTTAAAAGACCCACCTCTTACCACTCTTGAGTAGTAGACTCCAGCTGCTGAGCCACTTCACAACAGCTGGCTCAGGGACACCAGGGTGAGGATCTTAAGACCCATGCACTCAAGGAGGTTGTGGTTCTTAGGACCATGCAGATGAGTAATTTTATAGATGCCCACTTAAGCCTCTTCCTTATCTAGTGATTATAATGCTTAAGCTAATGTGTGTAGCTTACTAGACCTTCTAACTGGCTTCTCTTCAGTACCCATGGCATGTAAACCAACAGAAAGCAAAACAAAAGCAACCTTGCTACACAGTTGCACTCACCTAGAGTGCAGGGTGAAGATACAGAGGTTGCCAGTTTGGGCATGCAGTCCTGCTGTGTACATGTGGCCAACATCAAGGAATATCAGCTCCAAATGAAACTTACTACCACCACACCATCATGAGACCCACACTTGACCAGGAGGGATGTCTGGTAGCTGGCTTCCTGCAGAAGATGGAAGATTAGGAGTCTTCCTACCAGATTTCTGACTCAGCCAGGAGGAACTGGACAGTTCCTAGGCATGGCTCTTGGCCAGCATATGGCCTCTAAGGCAGTGTCAACTGTGCCCAATGCCACACATTCAGTTGATGGGTGATCCCCATGTCCAGTTTCCCTGCAGCCTCCCTGGTGTTCCTGCCCTGCTAGCTTTGGACTTCCCAGTTGCTCAAAGCATCAGGTTTCTGTAATACACAGGACAACTCCAATTGGATGGGGTGGGAGCGAAGATTCAGCATCTCAAATCACATCATGGCCACATGTACTTGGGTTCAGACTGGGTAGATGCAGACCTTGAATAGAGGCCCCAGGGTCCTTACTCAGGACAGTGGACCTGGGTCTGTGTATTGTACTTGGGGTTACTACTTGTACTTACATTTATTTTTTTCTTTTGATACGAGATCTCATGTAGTTCAGGCTAGCCTCAGAACATTGCTATGTGCACACTTGTGAACGTCCTGCATCCTCCTCTGGAGGTCTGGACTACAGGTGCACACCATCACATCCAGTTTTTCAAGTAGTGCAGGAGGCTGAAGCCAGGGCTGCTTGTCCTAGGCAAACACTGCCGGCAGAGCTAGATCCACAGCCTTCACCCGTGTTTCTCACAGCAGATCTGTATCCATATCTACAGCCTTCACCCGTGTTTCCCTCGCTAAAAGAAGGTGGGTGTGTAGGGAAGACACTGGTCCAAACCCCAGTAAAGGTATGATCCAGCAAGATAGCTGAGGCGAGAGGAGCCAATCCTATAACTTTTACAATCCATTAAACTAAGGCATTTTCGAGATGCGTTGATCTGAGGGAAGCTCCATCCTCACCCCCATCCCATCCCCACCTTACACAGTAAGTTGCTTTTGGTTTTTGTATAGCAAGTAAGTTTTAGCTTCGGGAGAAAAACATTAGCCTAGAGAGGGTATGTGTGCATTCGCCTTCCCATGTCCTTTTATCCTGAACCTTGCAGCTGTTCAAAGGCCTCCTAAAACTACAGACAGTACTGAACCTTATTTCCTATATATATGACAAATTTAATTTATACATCAATTTAGTAAGATTCTAACCGTAACTACTGAAACAGAAGTTACAAGAGAAATTACATACATATGTTACATTCATGTATATTCACAATATGATTGGTATGATCTATTTCAGCAATGATATCGTGTGTGTGTGTGTGTGTGTGTGTGTGTGTTTGTGTGTGTGTGTGTTCAACACTAGCATCAGACTGATAAGTCAATCCAAATGTGGTTGGTACAAGTTCAAAATTTTAATGGCTGTTAAATAATAAAAAGGTTTGTACTATATACACTCTGTCTACTTATCATACTGTCAGCCAGCCATGCACATTTCATTGCACATATAAACAGTGTACAAGGATCTTGAAGACATCGTATTCATACAAAAACACATTTTACAAAATATCGAAGCCATTTGTATGATACAGCCAATTTCAAGAAAATAGTGAAAATTAACAGCAAAAGAAATAGTTTAATAAAAAAATCCCAAAGTAATGGTTATTGAGCTTCATGTCATCAAAGATACATGTAAAAATATATTTCAGGACCCTGCACTGCAATGCCACGAAAGTGCGGTATTCCAAATCCTCGTGTTGCTAATGTCTGAATGCCGCTCCAGCTGAACACACACTTAAAATCCTCTCATCTTTACACTGTTACATCATTTGGCAAAACAGGTATTTGTGCAGTACAGAAAAGTATTAAAATATATTTATGTTAAAGTGCACAGTACATTTGATAGGAAGTAATTTACTAGCTGCCGGTCTGAGTCCCCATGTTCAGAAGCCCACCGTCACGCCCTGGTGGAAGGTCAGTCTCTGCTGAGTGCGCTCGCCCCTCCTGAAGTCTTTTGTATCTACCTTCGTGGCCCCCCCATTGTGAACTGCTAATGGCTTTGTACAGGGCTGAAAGTGCAGTCGGCAATTGCAAGCTTTTGACAAATGCCTGGGATATCCATCCATGCCTACAGCGTGAGTGTGCGTAGGTGTGACTGCTCGGCATAGTCCCATGAAGCCTTCTGCGAAGCTCTCCCACGGACAGGCTGGGACAGCTCCTCTCCTGGGCTGTCTGCTCTGCTGTCTGCTCTCTAGTCCTAATGTACTTGTCCCGGCTCCCCACTGGCTGCTCACACACACTCTACCTACTTTGCTTTACTCAGTCTGCTTGGCTGTGCATGTAGATGCCCACCAGAAGCCCCTTGCCCCCTCACTTCCCAAGTTTCTTACCAGACATCAGGAAGCTTCCAAGTCTAGACTCTTTAAAAAGCACCAGCTCGATTACAATAAAAAAACGAGCACAGATGCATTTCAGAAGCTCTCCCTCTTTGAATGCTGGCAGTTTATAAGAAGTGCTGGTTTCCTGACTCAAGCTCTCATGACCCTTTCAGTTAGACAGTTACCACCCATCACCTCCATTTTCTCATTCATTTCCTCAACATCTACCTTTGGTGCTAGATGCTACTCAGTTATCCAAAATACAGTGCAAAATTATACTTCAAGACATATGCTCAACACTTCCCACTTCTCTGTGTTAATATGTGTCTGTTTTGTGCATAGCAAAAGAAACAAGAATAAAAAAAACCTGTTCACATTTCATCTTCAAGTTTAATATTTTTTTCCACATAGCTATTTACAAATAACTCTGGGGTGCTCTCTTGATTTCAGTCGGTTCACTATAACAGGGACAAGAGGGCTGCTGGAATGTAGGGAACTGGATGGAATGCAGAAGTAGAAATAAGAACGATGTTCCGCAACTCAAAAGGTAGCTATCACCTCCCCAGAAAACAGCTCTCTGTCACAGAAGCACGTGTTTCTTGTTTAACTTTTCTTTTCTGAATCATATACACAAGGAAGTAGGAACACTGAGACCTGGAACTCCTACATGCCAAAGAGGCTCGAAAATAACTCAGTATTTATAATATTAAAATAAATTGTTTAACCACAAAAAAGCAGTAATAAAATAGTTTCCTAATTTACAATTTGCATCCAAAGGATGAATAACGACTCGCTAATAAATAATATTTATATAAATATTTTGTATGTTGAAAATAGTTTCTCAAAAAAGGCAATGGTCTCAAGAAACATCTTGAAAAAATTTGGTGGCGGATAAAACCTGATTGCATCCCCCTCCCCCCACTGATTCTGCAAGGAGTTTGGTTTTGGTCAAACAGACACGACTCACTGTGAAACGGTTTGTGCTTGGCATTTGGTAATGGCAGTTGGTGAGTGTGGAAGGGATGAAGGTTGAAAAGGCAATGGCGTGCTACTCAGTTCTCTGCCAGCTCCCTCAGACACTACCTGTCCACCCTGAACCCTGGAGGCCAGCTCTAAAAGGTCCTGAATCCTCCCTTAGGTTGAAACCTTGTCAACGAAGCTTGTCGCGGAACTGGCAGGCTGTGAGGGAGGGGCAGGTACAGGTGCCAGGAGCAGAGTCCAGGGTCCCTGCGCTGGGTAGAGTCTGAGGCCACCGAGCAGAGAGGGCTTGGTCTCATGTGAGCAGAGCTTTTGTGACAGTGACATCCAACAGGGCTTGAACAGTCATGCCCACTTTGACCAGGCCCTTCTCTTCAAGGATGTGATGAGGCAGACAGAGCTTTTCCTAAAAGGAAGAAGAAAACATCAGCAGTCAGATGACAGGTCTAGGACAGCAAGCCATCGCAACATCACAGATGGGAGCTGGGTTGTTCTCGGCTGGGTCGCTCGCTTCCATCAGTCTGTGCTCCTGCCCCTGGTGCCAAGCCATTGCCGAAGCCTTTTCTGGGTTTGCAGGGGAAATGATTTCTCATATGTGAAGGTTGTTCCAGACAGGTTCTTCACTACACCCAAATCTGTATTAGATCTAAACACGTAGGAAACTTTTCACTAGATAACTGAGTGACACAGAGAAAACACAAACACACACACACACACACACACACACACACACACACACACACACACACACACACACACACCAAGAATATCATAGCTTTAAGCCTTAGCAAGAAAACTGTACATAACTCCTCATGTTTTAAAGGAACTCAACTACTCATTTACACGGACTACAGATGGTTATAGTGACCGCTAGCCTTGATTTAATTCATTTTATGTTCTGTGATTTCTAGAGTGTGTACACGCTAGGTGACTTTTTGTGGCTTAGGCACAGTCTACACATAAGAAATCTTTTTTTTTAAAGGTCTTCTTTTGAATGACAATTCCTATTTCAGGCACATGACTTTTTTGGCTGCATGTATATGTATGCACCATACGCATGCCTAGTGCCTACAAGTCAGAGGAAGCAGTGAATTCCCCAGAACTGGTTAAAGACAGTTGTGAGCCACCATGTGGGTGATGGGACCCAAATCCAGGTCCTTTACAAGAGCAGTAAGTGCTCTTAGCCACTAAGCTCTCTCTCCAGCTCCCCCAATGTTTTGTTTTAAAATTTTCAATCTTGTACATGCCTGTGTGTGAGTATGTGCACACAAATGCCGTGGAGACCGGAAGAGGAGTTGGAGTTACAGGCCTGATGCGGGGACAAGGACAGAATTTGGGTCTCTCCAGTCTCTACAGATGGCCTCTAACACAGCTCCCGATGGCCTCCCCTTAAAGTTCTTTCCTTTAAACTGGCAATGACATACAGAGAGCACTCTTTTTCTCACGTTCTGCTTTACTCGCAGAAATACCCGGTGCACAGTACTCAAGGAAAATGACCTAGAGCCCCTCCTTGTGTGTACCCCTTCGTACGCTATAAAGCAGCTTACAAAATAATGCAAAAAGACATTTCCACCGTTGTGTGCCGTTACCACACAGGGGATTCTCCTACTTTACCTTGGTGAGAAAGACCCTACAACTCTAGCATCTGATAATGGCAGATTGTCCACAGCCCAAGGGTTGATGTTTTTGTCTCTTTCGTTTTTTTCTCTATATAACTGAATTTTTGTATCCTTTCCCAATGTCTCTAGAACATCTATTCTCCAACCGCTGGAAATTTCTATGGAATTGGTTTCCTTTTCTTTCTCTCACTCTTTTTTTCCTCCCCTCCACCCTTTCACTGATCTTCTAAGTGAGATCATGTGATGTTTGTTTTTCTGTATCTGGTTTATTTAACTTAATAACGTCCTCCAGGTTCCTGCACATTGTCACTAACAAGGAAGTTTCTTTTGGAAGGCTGAGCAGCATTACTGCTGAGCAGAATTTAAATGGGATCTGCATCTGGGTGCAGTTTATTAGCATCAAGCAGAGTCTTGGGAACAAGACTGTTTCCTTCCATGCAACTATGAAGAGTCCGACCTTCCTGCCAATGTCTGACCACACATTCCCTACACATCACCAAGACACAAGCAAAGGCAGCATGAGTATCAGATCTTCAAGGGTATGCCCTGATGACTCCGGAAGCTTCCTCCACATTCTTGAAAAGCCGGTGTGTCCTGAACTCTCTGTCTCCTCTTCTCCATAGTTCATAGGCCTTGCCTAAGTAAGAGGGGCTTGGACTGAGGGTCTTAGGAAACAGCCACACGGGGCAATGTGAGAATACTTTGACGGTGCCTTCATGGACCTGTGGAGAGTCAAACAGGATGATCTCCTCCATAACGTGTTAGGCAAGCATGCGAGTTTCCACTGCCAGGCAATAGAGGTGGCCAAATGTCAAGGGGAGAAAGGATGGAGGCCATGTGTGACTGAAGTTCAGAGTCAGTCACGACCCAGGTTGGGAGGGGACATCTGTAACTAGATGACAGCACCCATCCTTTCCTGAGACCACCTGTACAGGCCAAGAAATCAGTAGGCTCTGTTGCTCCTCTGCCACAGATGGTTAAAGGGACAGGTCTGTGTCCCCTCATTCTTCTTCACTTCCCAGTGCCCAAGTTCGCCTCGGATGCAGTAGGAAATTAGAAACACTTAAAACAGCTAAGCTTCTGGTGTCTGGCATTATTTTGGAAAGAAAAGAAAAGGAGGAATCAACATTTCATACCATATGCTAAATAACAGCAATTAAATATCATTAGATTTAAATGTTAAAAAAAACTCTAAGTGCCATTCAGTAAGATGAAAGAAAGGCTTGTTTGTTTGTTTGTTTGTTTTGTATGTGTCTCTGCATGGACTTATATGTACCACATGTGTGCATATGTACACAGATGCCAGGGGATCTAGTTGGATTTCCTAGAATTAGAGTCACGGGCCCATGTCCACAAGAGTAGTCTTACCCAATAAGGTAAGACCCCAGGCCTATAAAGATACATTTACAAAGTGCAAAGAAAAGAGTAAACCATTGTAAACCTAAAAACGTGAAGTTTCCATTTGAAAAGTGGAAAAAAAAAACCCTACTTAATGAAAAGAAAAAAAAGCCCATAAAAATGTGTATTTGTATCAAATTACAAAGGGTGTTGTATGATACAAGATCAACCAAACTACTGAGCGATCGATCACTGGGTGAATAGAGAGGCGATAGAGCATGTTTGCAATCCAGAACCAGGAGGTGGAGTCAGGAGGGTCAGAAGCTCAAAGCCTGCCTATGCCATACAAAACTCTCAATCAGTAAGTAAAATTTCCTAATAGCTTTGACTAAGACAGTGGCAAGACCTTTGATTCTCAACCTAACCTATGTACATCATGGCTTGGCCCAGCATCTACCACATACATGCTCAGAACACTTACATTAGCTTACAGTTGGGTAAAGCTGTCTAACACAAACCTTAATATATACATAAAGAGAGAATTGCTCTATGTAGTGAATAATAACTCACATAATGTATTGAGTTACATACTGAAAGTGAAAAAAGAAATGATTTCTTCAGAATGGCACTATCTAATGTGTGGAAAATCTTAATTGAGTATCATTAAATCAGGGACCATCTGTAAACACAAATAGAAACATACCCTCATACTCTTCCTTTTTCTCTTCATTCAGGTCCACCCAGAGGTGGCCTCCAATCATGTTGACAACTTGGAGTCATCTAAGAAAACAAGCCTAGAAGGCCAGAAACCATACAAAGATATAGCAGTCCTAGGTGTTCCATATAGAGCTGGAATGGACACAGGATCTAACCTGAGGTGCTGTTTGAAAAGATGACCATAGAGACGCCACAGAAATGGGAAGCAGGGTCGCCCAGCTTGTGGACGGAGGCCACTTTCCATCATGACAGTTGTGTCCCTGCATCTCCCCAGAGTGGGCTCCAAAGTGGGATAGGACTGGAGTTGCTGTGGATTTACATTGAGACCGGGGATGATGCAGAGAACAAGGGCTTCAGAGAGCCAGGCAGGTCAGGTGCCACCCTAGAGACCTCTGTAGAAAGTGGACTTAAAGCAGAAAGGACTGTGGGTGGCTACTGAGTTTACATGAACTAAAACTGTCCTGCCGCAGGATAGCCGAGGACTTGTTGAAAACGTGACAGGGGACACCTAGTCTATCCGTGCTGCTATTTTTTTAAACAGGGTGAAATCACAGAAGATCCTGCTTAACAGTAACACTCCGAGGCCTTCCAGAGCGTGCTTTACCTTACTGCCCCAGTGGTGGAATGGATGGGGCCAGTGGTTCTCAACCCTCCCAACGCTGTGATCCTTCCATACAGTTCCTCATATTGTGCTGACCCCTGACCATGATATTATTTTTGTTGCTCTTTCATAACTGTAATTTTGCTGTTATTATGACTTGTAATGTAAATGATTTTGGAGACAGAAGTTTGCCAAAGGAGTTGAGAACCACTGAATTAGGCTCTCTCATCCACACTCTCCTGAGTCACAGCACATAGGATTAGAAAAGGCAGGTGAGCAATTGAGAAATGATGCTAACTGTGGGGAGTAAGGCTGGGTGGCTGTCCCTGATGGCTCTTCTGTGGGGAGTAAGGCTGGGTGGCTGTCCCTGGTGGCTCTTCTGTGGGGAGTAAGGCTGGGTGGCTGTCCCTGGTGGCTCTTCTGTGGGGAGCAAGGCTGGGTGGCTGTCCCTGGTGGCTCTTCTCTCCCTGATGCTCTTACGATGATTACAGATAGCCACCCCTACCTCTAGGTCAGCCACCTAGTCTAAAATGAAGTCCTTCACACTAGCTTATTTCCCTTGGTTCAGCCTGTCTCTTTACATGAAACATTCTGAGACTCAATTGTGTAAAGCCTAGAGTTTGTGCCATTTTAATGCATGAGAATACGAAGGACTAGTTCTGCCCCCGGGGTAAATCTCTTGCTACTTCTCCAGCCCCTTCTCACCCTGTTACACACACACATCCATCCTTCCACTGCCTTCCCACTCATACCTAGCTTACACATCTTTCTAATCCTAGTATACACTTTACTGTTTCAGGGGATCTGCACGACGCCCCCTCATTAGTGTCTGGGCCATGTTTCCACGTGTTTCACAGAATTCTATAATTGACCCATCCCAGGTCCTTCTCACTGAGTCCCTCTCTGTTTTCTCAGGACTATTGGACTTGCAAGTAAATCCAATTCCCGATCTATTTTTGTGAATAAAGTTTTATTGGCACACAGAACTGCACATTAGCTCATGTATTCTGTATGCCAGTATTCATTTATTCAAGCTGGGTGTCTGCAACAGAGACCATCTGCCTAAAATATCATAAAATATCTGTCCTCTGGCCCTGCCCCTGTAAATGCTGAAATCTGGTATGGACTACA